TCACAGAACGAAACCGAAGAGATTTCGGGAAACGAATAAATTTTTAGGTGGCCCAGACTTTATGAAAACAGCTGTAATTAATAATACGTAATAATAATGCAGTAATAATAATAACGATAATACTTTTTTAGCCAGCTTAGCTGACTAAGCCATATAAGTAGGATTGGACGGCTATATCAAACATACATAGTAACTTTATCAATTTTTCGCACGCTTTTGAGGCATACTAGATTGGGGTGTATCATGCAAGCCTATTTACAAACATAGTGCAGGTGTATAGTGTAATAAATATAATTTAGCTCGAATTAATTTTCTTTTTGTTGTTTAAATTTTTTTTATTTTTATCGTTATTAAAATTTGTATTTCTTTTTTTGGTTATTTTATTTATGGATCTAAATATTTAATTTGGTGGGTCAAAGGGTTATACAAAAAAGGGAATATATTGTGATTCGGTGGCTTAGGTAATTCGCGTATACGCTAAAATCTGAATGTATATTATGATTTTTTTTTTTTTTTAAAAAAAAAAAAATGCCATTTGTTAATATAGAATGCTTCAAAAATTTAGGTAATGATATGACCGATTGATCAATATCGATGTCGGCAGATTTTAAACTTGGGCTAGGCCACGCCGGCCCCAAATTTTACATTTTTTTTTTTTTTTTTTTCGAGTTCCAATTATCGATTATGCCAATTAATTCCATTTTTGCTGTTTTATTTTTTCGATTTTTTTATCCGGTGTTACCGATGGTTACCTTAATTTTTTGGAATTATCCGATAGGATTCCAAGGGAAAACCAGGACTTCGGCTTTAAATTTATAATTTACTGAACTAAAACATGTCAGCAACAAATAAAAAATAAAATTGTAAGTCCGATCCGAGATCTGGTTTTCCTTTGGCGACATTAACATTAAAAAAAAAACATTCCACCCGCTTTAGAATTTCATGTAATGCAAAACGAAAAATCGACTTTGCGTCGCCTTAGGTTTGTGTTGTGTAAAGTATACTTGTTACCCGAAACCTTTTTTCCAAAATCCGAAAGTTTCGGGTTTCGGAAGTTTCGGGTTTCGGATTATACTTTCCGAAACCTCTCCCGAAACCCGAAACCCTTCCCGAAACCCAAAACCTCTCCCGAAACCCGAAACCTCTTCTATAACTAAAAATCTAATACGAAACTCACCCGAAACTAAAATCTAGCATCAAATTTAATTTTACTATCGTATATTTGATTTTGCTATGATCCTATAGTAATAGCAAATCATAATCCAGGTGTAACGTAAAATTAGTGTTTTAAGCCGGCTAAAGCAGCCACGGCTAAGCCGGCTTAGACGGTTAAGCCAGCCGATAAAATATGGTCGGCTGGCTAATGCGGCCAAAGCAGGCCAACATTAAGAATTAGTTTGGCCGGCATTAAGAATTAATTAATTAGGCCAAGCATTAAGAGTTAGTTTGGCCGGTATTAAGAATTAATTAGGCCAGGCATTAAGTTAGTTAGGCCGGCATTAAGGATCAGTTAGGCCGGCATTAAGAATCAGTTAGGCCGCATTAAGAATTAGTTAGGCTCGGCATTAAGGATTAGTTGGCCCGGTATTAAGAATTAGTTTGGACCGGCATTGGGAATTAGTTAGGCCGGCTCCAGAATTAGTGGCCGGAATTAAGAATTAGTATGGCTGGCATAAGGAATAATCTAATACGTACAAGCCGCTTAGCCGATGTATGCGGCTTAAATCACTACGTACGTAAAATTAAAACAAAACGTTTTTTACTTCGATTTAATTAAGGTTAGGGCAGGTTCGACTTAGGATTAGTGTAGGCATAGTTTATATCAAAATTTTGCAAGGAATTTTTTTAGTTAGAACACGAAAAGCTGTTTCCTATGTAAAATTTTGAGCTATTGGAGATTTCATTAAAAAAGTGTTTTTTTCGCCATTTTTTACGTTACACCTGATCTTGAAATTTGATTGGTGGGCGACAAATAAGAGTATCAGAGTATCAGGTATCGCATGGTGCAAAATTAGCCAATTAAAATAAAACGCGATAAATAAGAGAATCGCACCCATAGATCTAGATTAATCCTTTAAATATATAATAAAATATTCAATAATTACAATTATTTGAAATTTTAACTATAAATTAATAAGTTTAATTAACTAATATTTTTACTAATAATTTAATTAATTTTAATTAAAAATTAATTAAATATTTAAATTTATATATTTTATAGTTTCGGATTATAGGTTTTATAGCTTTAGGTTTCGGATTATAAGTTTCGAGGTTTCGGGTTTCGTAGTTTCGGAGATTTTTTCTAAAATCCGAAACTAGTTTCGGATTAGTACTTCCCGCAACTAGTTTCGGGTTGGTTTCGTTTCGGATAACAAGTATAGTGTAGCATGTCTTGATCATTTGTTCAATTAATGTTCGTGTATTAAAAAAGTCTTATATCATAGAAATTTAGCGTTAGTAAAAATTATTTTGTCATTTCAGGATTAACATACGTCATTGCAAATTTAAAAATAATGTATGTTATTAGCAAACTTTTTTTTTTAAAGTGAAAATAATATTAAAAACATAAATTGACTTAGGTTATTTTTCAATCAGTGAAGACTAAAAAATAACACATGTCAATTCCAAAATAATGGGAATTGAAAAATGATACGTAATATATCGATATATGCAATTAGTACAAAATAGATTTTTTGCAATACTTACTATACATTTTCAATTCACAAAGTTCATTTTCTTTGTTATTAGCCTTATCTTTCAAAATATTTAACCATTGCTCAAGATATTCAACTTCTACAATGTCTTTCTAAAAATAATAAATATTTTAGTATAGTAAATATAAATTATTTCATACCCACTAAACCTGACAAGTTACTTATACCAGCCAGATTCTCATAAGCTCTTAGTATGAAAATATAACTACATTCATACCCGCTGAACCTGACAAATCCAGACACCAGAACAGTAAGTTACCTACGATCTTAGTATAAAAAAATTTATACCTGCCAGATTCTCATAAATTCAAGCGCCAGAACCATAAGCTCTTAGTATGAAAATATAATCACATTCATACCCGCTGAACCTGACAAATCCAGGTACCAGAACAATAGGTTACTTACGATCTTAGCATAAAAAAGTTTATACCTGCCGGATTCTCATAATTCAAGCGCCAGAACCATAAGCTCTTAGTATGAAAGTATAACTACATTCATACCCGCCGAACCTGACAAATCCAGGCACCAGAACAATAAGTTCTTACAATATTGTTCATACTTGCCAGGTTCTCATTCTAAGATATGGCTTAAATTACACTCACATAGTAATTATTGATGATTTCATTGACATATTTCTTCTTATATTTGTTTTTTAATACTTTTTGCAACTCCACTGATAGTTTACAATGTGTGGCTATAAATATAAAATTATTAAATAATTATTATATTTTAAATATCAGAATTAATATACTTACGTTTGTTTAAAAATTCAAATGATCGTAAATACACATCTAGTAAAGGATCTTGGTCTTTGAAGGTTATACTTTTTTTTTGCGAGCAAAACCTTATAAAGCTTGTTATAGACAAGTCATTTTCGTTAACTTGCTGTAAATAAGCAGAAAACAATTTTTGCGCTTCACTAGAAGTAGTGCTAGGTCTCGGTTTGGGTCTAAGTTTGGACATGATGAAACTACTTTGTGACACAAAGTTTGTGTAAACAAAATGCATGATTTTTGTCGATCAAACCCAAAAAAATTGGGTAATTCTGGTCAAATTTGCAGATTATCTGACCCAGGCAATGAGTTTTAATTTCACCTGCAAATAGTTTTTTATTCTACAAAATTAGAAATAAAAAAATCTTGGCTAAATTTATTTTCTATTTTGGATTTATTACCAAATCTCAACATCCAAAATCCGAACATCCAAAATCCTGACAACAAAATCCCAACATCCAAATTCCCAACAACACAAAACCCTAACAATGCTAAAATCCCGAAGTAAATCTCAAAATCAAAATCCTGATAGTTTTATAATTCCGATAGCTCATAATCCCAATAGTCTATAATCTCGATAGTTCTATAATTCCGATAGTTCCATAATCTCGATATTCTATAATCCTAATAGTCTATAATTTTATTAATAAAATAGCTGCGCGACGTCATCACACTAGAAACCAGGAACAAAAGCAAATATAGTAGCTAACAAATAGTACAAGTAACATACAAACAAAATAAAAGTTTATAAGATATACGGAATGAT